ATAGTAAACCTTATGGTTATCTGATTCAAAATGGTCAATGCCAGTCTATTTTAGTGCACTAATACCTGGGATATTGATTGATCGTTATGTGTTCCATTTCATTTTTGACAACTTCCAATTTTCCTAAATTCCTACTTGACACATTCCATGTTCTGATTATTAATGGGTGCTTGCAGCTGTTTCTCTTCAATTTGAATTGTGCCCCATCAGCAAATGAAGGTCCCGAAAGCCTTGCTCCATTCATGTCACTATGGTCAACACTATTTTGGAAGAGGTGAAGCCAGAGTGCTCTTGGAGACCAGGATGGGCAAACTTCGTCTCTCATACTTCAGATATATTGTCAGGAGGGACCAGTCACTGGAGAAGGATATCATGTTTGGTAAGGTGGAGTGTCAGAGACAAAGAGGAAGAGCCCCAACGAGATGGACTGGCCAAGTGGCAGCATTGATGGACTCAAGCGTGGCAACAGCAGTGAGGTTGGCCCAGGATCAGGCAGTGTTTCATTCTGTTGTGCGTAAGGTCACTATGGGTCGGTACCAACTTGATGGCAACAACAACAACAACTTTGAGAGGCAGCTCTTCCCCAGTCGTATTTCGAGTGCCTTCCGACCTGAGGGGCTCATATTCCAGCACTTTATCTTACAGCGTTCAGCTGCTGTTCAAAAGGTTTTCAGTGGCTAGTGATTCCGAAGTGGTCTTTGTCTCCTTCTTTATAGTTGGTCTAAGTCTTGAAGCTTTTTGAAACCTGTCCACCATGGGTGACTTTGCTGGCATTTAAAATATCAGTGGTATTGGTATAGCTTCTAATGGAGTCCTGGTATGGTGTTGTGGGTTAATGCGCAGGACTAGAAAGTCATTTGAAATGCAAAGTTGGTCTTTCAAGCTCACCAGCTGCTCCTTGGAAACCATACACAGGGTCAGTATGGGTTGGAACAAATTTGAAGGCACTTAACAACAACAACATAGCTTCTAGCATCACAGCAACAAGTAGTTAAGTAACCAAAGTACTACAAACTGATAGAGGAGTGGTGGTATGTTCTTTTACCATAGTTAAAAACATCAATTAACATAAGGATGTAATTTTCACCAATGCTTAAAAACAATACCCTTTTTCTTTAACTTACAATATTTACTTATCAAAACAAACTGCATGGGAAGTTGACGTCAATCATTAGGACAATAAAAAATTTATAATCTAAACATCTCATTTTCTTATCTGGCCCTCTTTTATTTAATTTGTATTGTGCACATAAGATATGTTCCTTCTAAGACAACAAATCCACTTGTTCCCACACCTACTTGTTACTTCCTCTGCCAAGTTCTCGCTTCACCGCTGTATTTATAACCTAATACCGTGATGTATTTTACTTGTTTAGGAGTTCTGATGTGGCACTGTTAAGGTAAAGCACTGGACCACTAGGTCCGTTTGACCCATAAGGTCCGTTCAAATTCACTAGCTGCTCCTTGGAAGCCTTATACAGGGCCACTATGTGTTAGAACCAACTTGATGACATTTAGCATTTTAATTGTTTAATATATTTGTACAAAGGGTACATTAAGTATAATAAAATAAACTCATTAACTATTCTTATTATCTTAAATAAATTTCATGAGAAGTATATATATATTACAGTAATGTCAAATATGGTCAGTCAAAAATAATTACAGAGAATACACCCTGCTA